TTTGGAGGAAGGGTAGAGGAGCATGAGGCAGTGGGAGGTGTTTGCGACGCCTGGGAATCGTCCGGTGGAGGGGGCGTCGCCGGAGAGGGGGAAGGCAAACGAATTGTCGATGTCGGATGGGCCATCGGTGCRWCDAVGGAYGTCACTGATGGGTAGGCCGACAGATGCAATGTTGAAGCCGGGTCAGTGTTCTGGGGACTGTGTTCATGACGAGGAGGGGCCCGCGCTTGCCGAGGGCGGTGATGTGGAGGTTGTGGGTCGCGTGGAGGTGGACTGACGGGTGAATTGTGCGGCGTTGGGGCAGTTGGTTTGTTCGTGCCCCAATTGGCGACAACGGAAGCAACCCCCTTTTGCTTGGAGGTAGGTGCGCTCCTCGGGGGTGAGTTTCTTGAGGCGGGAGGGTGGGGTAGATGAGGGTGGTCGGGAGCTGCGATCTCTGCGCTCCATTCTCATGAACTGGACGACATCGAGTTCCTCGGAAGTGAGGGATGAAGAGTCGAGTGAATCGAAAGATGCGTCGGGGTCAGATGTGGTGAACTCGTATGAGGAAGTGATGGAGGTGGTGTCTTCGGGGGTGATGTGGTGGAAAAAGCGGGTGCGGGAGGTGCCGGGGGGGGCCTGGTGGTGGGGGTGGAGGAGTCGATCGTGGTGGAGCATGCGAGAGAGGAGGTCAGCAAGGGGCATGTCGGGTTCGTGGGCGAGGGCGGTTGCAAGGTCTTTGTGGCATACTCGTTTGATGCGGGAGATGAACGCAYAGTCGGGAATGACGGTGTGGGGGAGGTGGTGTCGGAGGGAGCGGACGTACTGGACGAAGCGGTCCGTGGGAGCGGTCTGGCGGAGGTGGCAGAATTGTTCAAGGTAGTCGTCAATGGTTTTCTGGTGGCGGAAGGTGGCAGTGAGGAGGATGGCCCATTGGAGGAAGGTGTGGCGTGGTCCTCCGGAGGCTCGGCGGTTGCTAGCTTCAGCCATCCACCATTTGGCTGCATTGCCGAGGAGGCGGGAGGTGGCAATGGGGAGCCAGTGGGCAAGGGGCATGTGGTGGAGTTGAAATGAGTTCTGAAGCTGGGTTAGGAAGAGGAAAACATCCTCGTGGGGGAGGCCGGAGAAGGACATGATTTCGCCAGATCGGAAGGAACGGGGGATTTCCCCGTCGCGGTGGACGATTTGCGCGAGGGTGTTGAAGCTGAGGTTATCGGGGGCGGTGTCGTAGCAGGTGTGGTCGATTTGGTTGTTGTCCTCAAGGAGGTAGGTCGGTGGAAGTTGTGGCATTGCGGGGAAAGCCCCGGAGGTGGCTTGGGAATAGGTGGGACGGATGGTGGGGATGGTGGAGGTGGTCATGATGGGTTGGGAGAGGGTTTGGGAGTGCGGGGGGGGGAAAGGGGTGACTTTGATGGGCGAGGAATGAGGCGGTGTGCTGGATGCGCCGGATGAGGGAGGAGGTGGAGGGAACGGAACGATGGCGGGGATTGAAGGGTTGGTGGATATGGCAGGAGAGGTGGTAGGAGTGGAGGCGGTCGGCGGGGGGGTGTTGCTAGAGGCGGCTGTGGAGGTTGGAGTGGTTTGCACTGT